AAGAACTAATGCTGGGATTCTCTATTTTGTTGTGATGGAAACTGGCTATCATCATTATCATCATCATCATCATCATCATCATCATCATCATCATCATCATCATTATTATTATTTAATCTGATTCATTACCTCCTTGGCATTCTAATTCTTGTCAATATTATGGCTGCAGAACCACTTGTCTGGAGTCATATCCCCATATTGGCAATTCTGTAAACATGCCAATTGCTTAAGTTATTTTGACCACAGTACTTACAACAGCAATATTACAGTCTGGTAATAGTATTAAGCTTTCATTTACATCTTGCCTTTCCTCATGGTGGTGTATATAGCACTGTGTCTTATGAAAAATATGATTTGTTACTGGGTGTATAAATGGTTGATGCAAAGCAAAAACAAATAACCAAAAAGCAATTTTCCAAAGCCCTAACCATGGAGGACAATGTGACAAATGGAAGCAGGTTTTTTGTGGAGTTGTTTTTCTTCAGGCTGTGATAAAATTTAGAAGCCTGCAAGTCACCAGCATTTCCGTGAAACTCAATATATGAGTTTCATTAATATTAAATATTAATATTCATTTAATATTTCATTAATATATGGAATCTCAGGAAAGTATATTTGCACCAAAGGGTAGCATTATCTCCTCTCTCTATTTATATGGTGGCTATTCCTACTGACAAGCAGGAGTGGGCCTCCAGATGTTCCCAGTCTAAAACTCTCAGCCCCTCATATGTGATAGTTATGCATGCTAAGGCTTCTGGGAATTATAGATTAGGAACATCTGCAGGTTCCTTACCATTATTCTCTGTGGCAGTATAAGATTGCACACACAAAGCTTCTGCATTATGTATTTGCTAATATTAATCTCTACGTTAAAACTTTGCTGAGCAAATTTGGTGGCCTAGCTTGGTTGGTTAACTACTGTTCTCCTTATATACTTTTCACATAAAGAGAATTATAAAAACTCTATGTAGTCTTGATTTCCCATTATATCTGTATGCATTGTTCTCTCTCCTCTCTTCTTTTAGGCTTCCCCACTTTTGAAACTCAGTGCTTATTTTAGTGCAGAACTGCAAGTGCAGGGACACATAGCTTTTAAATCCATGCGCTGTAAGATTATTTAGTAGGTTAGTTGAATTTACTCAGAGGTTCACAAACTGAAATATTTTCTGATGAATCTTGTGATTTAAAACCTCCTAACTGCATAGAAGCAAAGTGGAGGGCACTAAGAGAGAAATCAAACATGGATAGTTAATGGCACCCCACTGGAGACTCCAGAGTCAGCTTAGGGAAAGGGACACCCAAATTCAAATTCTGTCTCACATACATCACAGGATTGTTAAGAAAAAAAAGGGTAAGATAAAAACATAAATTCTAATTGTAGCAGAATATAAAATGAAAGTCATTTACTTTTCAGCCTGATCTGATTCAGCCATTACTAGGAGTGGGTGAGTGGGTGGATGGATGGATGGATGGATGGATGGATGGATG